TTGTGGCTTGGGACGAGGGGGTGGCGGGGGTCATTCCCTGCGGGAGTGCGCAGGAGCAGAGCTCCGGCAGTAAGGAGCCCAGGGGGCGGGCACATGCAATGAGCCCCGCCCCCTGCTCCCAGCAGCCGTCAGTCGGCCCACGAGGAGCAAGAAGCAGCCAGGTAAGTTGCAGAGCCCCCCATAGCAATCCAAAACAGTCCAGTGGCACCTTTAAGACCAAGTTTTATTCAGGTACAAGCTCCCCCTCCTCTGCGAGGACAGATCTGCGTGTTCCCTCCCCCATAGCTAGCAATCCAAAACAGTCCTGTGAGCAAAAATTCTACTTTGTGAGCTACCGGCATTAAAGTTGTGAGTGAGCAATTTGGCTACTGCATAAATTAGTTTGCTCTGGAGCCATCCTGCCTGAGCTAAGACATAAATGTGTGAGCTGGAGGCTAAAAAACGGTGAGCTACCTCACACTAGCTCAGCTCAGAGGGAACACTGCTCACAGGGTGTCTGTTGTGGGGAGGGGAAGGGAAAGGAGTGTGTAAGCTGCTCTGAGACTTCCTTGGGTAGTGAAAGGCAGGGTAATCTCCTCCTCCTCCTCCTCCTCCTCTTCTTCTTCGTCGTCTTCATCGTCTTCTTCTTCTTCATCGTCTTCTGTCTTCTTCTTCTGTCTTCTTCTTCTTGCAGCGTGAGCACTCCAAAAAAGCCTCGGTCCGGAGCAGGTGGGAAGAGACCCCCTTTGTGTGTGTCAGCTGGGAAGAAATGTCCGGAATCCGTGTCGTCCCTGAAGCTGTTGGTGGCTCCCTGCCTGACACCCCCCCCGTCTCTTTCTCTCCCCCCACCAGGAGTGTTCCTGATCCCTTACGCCATCATGCTCCTCTTCACGGGGCTGCCCCTCTTCCTGATGGAGCTCAGCCTGGGCCAGTACGGGGCGGCGGGCCCCATCACCGTCTGGAAGTGTTGCCCCCTCTTGAAAGGTAGGTGCCCGAGGCGTCTTGGGGGTCTGCCCCTGGGGACCGCCTGGAGCTGTAGCCGCTGGCCGTGGCGGCCCCTCCCTTCAATCACGCCTCTGCTCACACCTTGGGATCGATCGACCCTGGCAATTCTGCTGTGCTCCACGGAAAGGTGCCTGGAGATCCAGCCCTCCGGCAGGTGTGGCTACAGGGGCCACAGGGTAGTTAGGGGCAGCATTCCCTCTAAGCCGAGTGAGTGTGAGCTGGCTCACAGTTCTTTAGCCTCCGGCTCACACATTTTTGTCTGAGCTCAGGAAGGATGTGGCTCCAGAGCAAACCAATTTATGCAGCAGTCAAATTGCTCGCTCACAACTTCAGTGCCAGTAGCTCACAAAGTAGAATTTTTGCTCATAAGACTCCACAGCTTAGAGGGAACATTGGTTTGGGGG